AAATTTTTGGGGCCGGAGCTGGTCGTATCTCGAAAAATTCGTAAGTAGGGGCGTTCGTAAGTAGAGGTACCACTGTATTCTATCATGAAGGTGATGTTTAGAAGAATTATTACAGTTCACTTTCTAAAATTCTGAGCATAGACTAAAAGTATATATATAAATGATGCTGTGACTTTGAGAATGTTTTACTTTTATAAAATTGAGGATGGCTATTTAGCCCAGGACATAACATTAATTAAATAAATAAATAAATAAATAAATAAATAAAATAACATAATTTGTTAATGAAATCAGTTCTAAAACTTAATCATACAGTAGACCCTTTATGAAAATAGAGATGTAAGCTAATATGCTTTCTTTGAGGCATATTGCTTGACAATGCAATGGTATGCATATGTATTAAGAATAAACCCACAATAGTTGTTAATAGAATATTCTAAACTGTGGTTTGTGTAACCATGGTTTAATGAATAAACCAACATTGCTGACTTGACAGGGCAAAACATAAATCATGGTTTGTAAAACCACATGAGGAAAAATTCACAGTCAATACACATGATAATTATATAAACCTAGCCATTTGTTTATAAACTTATGGTTTCTATCACAATTTTTTCCACATTCAGAGCAGCATAAATATACATTCAAACTCTTTAATTGTCAGAATATCCCTCACAATTGATTAATTAAGCAACAGCTGATTTAACCTGCCACATAAAATGTATGCCTAGTGTAAGATCCTCAGTGTCAACAGTCAATGTCTCAACAGAGTCAAACAAACTGACTCTGTTTTCTGGAATTAGTGGATAGTAAATTATTGTGCCTTTTTCACCCTTCTTTTGTACTTTTTGGATACCTTCTAACATTTCTTACACTGCTTCTAAATTCTGTGCTTAATCCCCCACACAGTTTTTGTCCATAAAAACCAGAAACTCATGCTTAGGATGTAGTAAATGAGCAGACATCTTAAACCACCTCACATATGTTTTGAATTCAATGGTGCTCCAATGAGATTTGAATTCAATCTCATTGGAGAGATTGACATCCACTTTTTAACAAGTTTTCTCTTGGGTAGAAAATGCAGGGCTGCCAATTGGTCTAAACGATTTAAAGATAATGACTGCAATTTTTAGTTAGAACACAGTGTATAATCATTCTGGCTGCTTCCAGCTGCTGCTTCTTAATGCCAGGTTGGTCTGTAATAAGGCTGCCCTCATCAGTGATTGATTTAATCCTTGATGAGAGGGCAGACCTGGCATGTATCACCAAACGTGGCTGCATCTGTAAGGTGGGGTTGCCCTTTCGGAATTATGTCCAGTTGGGTTTCTGGTGTGGCATCAGCTGAGATCCTGGGGCACGGGTGGAGATTGTCATCCGGGAATCTCTCACAACCTTTAGGGCACTGCATTGCAGGTCACTGGATGTGAGACCCTGTTCATTAAGTTGGGCTCTACGGATCAGTTGGGATTGCTGCTGCTGTATCAACTCCCTGCTGCACAGCAACTTCCCTGCCTGAGCTCCTTGACTCCATTTCTGGACTGGCAGTGGAGTTCCCCAGACTTATGGTTTTGGGGGACTTCAATCTGCCTTCTCTAGCAGTGGGGTCTGAGGTGGCTTGGGAGTTCATGGCCACCATGATGGCCATGGGGCTATTCCAGATCATCCAGAGCCCGACACAGGACAGTGGCCATGTAATCTCAAATTGAGGGAGCTTTCAGTGTCTCCCTTGTCATGGTCAGATCACGCCCTGATTACCATAGGATTCTCCAGTGCCACTATCCACTGCAGGGAGGCTGGACCCATTCGATTGGTCCGCCCCCAGTGACTAATAAACCCAGATGAGTTCCAGAGGGAGCTGGGGGTTGTTCCTGCTGGTCTGCTGCACGTAGTGGGTGTGATCAGGGAGTAGGGAGGCCATGGAAAATGGGTGCTTTTATACAGGATGAATCTACCAGTTGTTAATCGTAAAAACATCTCCAATCTTTTAAAAAGTTGCAATGCTACAACTTTGTAAGTTTACACAGACTTTGAAAATTCAAAGAAAGAATAACTTAAAAAAAACCCCATAGGATTAGAAAAAAGTATTTTGTTGCTATCTTGAAATTATGATTGTGTTATTTCAGATAGTGTTTAATATTGTCTTAAAAAGTGCTAACTTATTCTGTGAAGTTCTCTAAAATCCACAACAGTTTTCTGCCTTTGATTATCAAAGTAAGAATGAGCTTTTTAAATCCAATCATTTAATTGGGCACACAATTTGTCTTTATATCTGGATTTAGAATAAAGTTTAATACAGGAAGAAGCCATTAGGTATCTTCCATGGGTTTTGGATTTAAACTCCCATCAACTTAGGGTCAGCACGACAGTTATGAGAGTTTGAGTTACTTAGCCCTGGAATGATATATAAAACTAATATAGTGTAACCTGGTTTAATAACAAACCAACACTGGGTTATATCTAGATGGTTTAAATCTTTGAATAGCAGGGTTTCTTCTACTCATGAAACCTGCAGAGCTTCAATAGGACAATTTCCCCCCTTTCCCTCGCTGTTCCCTTATACTATCTGTCATATGGTTTCTTTGTCCTTTTCAATAGCATTTAAGAGCAGAATGGATAAAAAAGATTATCTGCCTTCTCCAGGGCACAAATGGAATTCTTGATCCATTGCTGAAAATATCCTATTATATTATTATATATTATATGATTAAATATCCATATTATGTATAATATGCATAGTATGAATCATTAAGAATTTTTAAAATAACGTTCTGAATGTAATTATAAAACAGCACTATACAGACTGAAGATAAAACCAGCTGTTGGGAGTTATTGTAAGTAAACATTTAGGCTGAAAGAGAAAACATAATTTAGATGTGGCCTTATGCATGTTTCTTAAACTTTACAACACTACAGAACACTAAGCAACATATACACACTCCAATGTTCCCTGTAATGTTTTTTCTTTTGGAATGTGCCAGTCCAGTCTTTCTGGAGTAGCAGTCACAATCCGTATTTGCTCTGGAAGACTTGCCGCCAGAAGACTATTTCATTAGCCCCCAGATGGCTCAGTGATGCAGTCATGAGAAACACAATCCTTTCTTTTAAAAAGAGAGTGAAAAATACATTGAAGTATGGTACTCTTATTTATATATTTACACTAAATACACTGATTATTAATTTTAATGGAATATATGAGCCTACATATCACCATATGTTTCATCAGTGTCTGGTCTGAGGTTTGTTAAATAGAGCCTTATTGGAGGTATAGAAATTCAACATGTTTTGATACTAGTTTTTAATTCTGAGTGCTGAAAATTCACATTCTCAAATATGTATTTATTTGATTAGTAAAATTGGATAGATTCAAAACTTCCCCAAACTTTTTTTTTGGATATTCATACCAGCTCTCAGTCTTCAAGGTGTTTGGGAAATATTGACGGTCTGCCAGTTTAAGATGCACTGGCCTAGAACACCAGTATGGTCTTCCCTAACTGGTGCCTTCCAGATGTGTGGTCTTCTCATAATTCTCATAATCCCCAGGCATTACCATGTCCAATATATTGGAAAAACATCAGTAACTGTGCTTGTAAAGTTATTTAATCTACCCTAGTCTAAATTTAAATGGAAGGAAATATTTGCTATGCCAACAAAGATATGTCTGACATCAGAAATTACAGTCAGGGTTATACTTATTGAGGGTACAGCATATGAATAAACATAATCAACAATACATGCGGTGACAGAATGCAGTTGCAAATAGTCTAAGGGGAGTGTTACTGACCCTGTTTTGGTATGTGGATCTTAATTTACTATATGCCTTTGTTGTTACCTCCTTTCTCTGGGCTTAGTGTCTGTTTCATGTATAGGAATGGGACAGCAAATATTGTTAGTGAAGGGCCCCAATTTTCACATATAGAAAGCACATTCTAATTATGTAATTCTGGAGCTTGCACCTCAGTAGTCTCGTAAGAAAAGAGCCATCCTTTTATTCATTATTCAGTCCATTGCTCATGTACCCATTTCCATGCTGTGAATATGTGACATATGTAGTGATTACAACACTCTGGTGCTATTCTGGGGAGTGTGGGGATATTATCATCAGTAAATTCCCACACTGGCTTCTGGGACTGCTCTATCTACAATTTGCTAGTAGCTCTCAGTTCAGAACTAGAACAGGCCTTTGTCTTGACAGATGCTGTACATGACACACTTTGCATATATATCAAAACCTAATCTGTTCACATAAAACTGTGTAATATATCTGAGCCTTAGGAAGTCCTGTCTGATATGAATGGAGCTGTATGATTACATTTCTGATTTATTTATTCTTAAGTGTAGCAAGTTGCAATGTATTTATAATTAAAGTTCAGCTTTGATAATACTGTAGTCTCAGTATCCTAGAAACCAATTTATGTTGAGTTCTTTGGAGAAAATATACAAAGAAGCATGGGTTTGTATGTGGGACTTTGAAGAAAGCAAAAGAGCTCCACTCCATTTTTGAAACTTTCCTTTTTTTCCTTTTTTCCCCCCAGGTGGCTGTTCATTTGATGAACCATTTACATCATGTGGATATAGTCAGTCTGATAATGATGATCTTAACTGGGATCAAGTGAACACATTCATAAAGCCCACAACAGATCCATGGATGCCCACAGGTAGTTCTCGTTGGAAATAATAGTTTTTTATCTGTCTTTTATCACATTTTATAAAGAAATATCATAAATACGTTTTTCCCCCTTTGGTTATATTGTTGCTTAGGAAACATATTAAAATCTGATTTATTTAACATATGTATATCTGGAATTTGAAGTATTACCAAAATTAGAAACTGCTTAGAAATATTTGCTTTCCTGCATTAACATTGTATGTACAGGTAGTCCTCGAGTTATGGCTGCAATTGGGATTGCCATCGCTAAGCGATTCGGCGTGGCATCACGTTACCGCATGGCTTAGTGACAGCAATCCAGGCAGTCCCAGTTGACATTGTAACCCAAGACGCATGATTGTTAAGTGGGAAGCAGAGGGAGACGCAGGTAAGGAATGTGAGGGGTGCCACACGGGGGGGGGAGGCCCTGGGAGGCCTGGTGCAGGCCATGTGTGAGTCGGGGGGGGAGGTGCTTGGTGCTCCATGAGCTTAGGAAGGCCAGGGAATAAATCGCGGGGTGTACGCGATCACAAGGAAGCTGGGGAAAGAGGGCGTGGGGTCCTTGTGTGTGAGTGTAGGAGGCCGAGGAAAGAGGGCACAGGGTGCGTGCTATTGCAGGAAGGCTGTGGACAGAGGGCACAGGGTACATGTGTGTGATAACAGGGAGACCAGGGAAAGATGGTGCGGGGTACATGCGTGCATGTGTGTATGCTCAGGGAGGCCAAAGAAAAAGGGCGCAGGATCTGTGTGTGATCACAGAGAGGCTGTGGAAAGAGGGCATGGGGTATGTGTGTGTGATGTGTGTGATCACAGGAAGACCTTAGAAAATGGGTGCAGGGTGCATGCATGCATGCGATTGCAGGGAGGCCAAGGAGAGAGGGCGTAGAGTACATGTGATTGCAGAGAAACTGGAAAGAGGGCATGCGTGTGAACATAGGTTGGCCAAAGACAGAGGGTGTGGGATGGGTGGAATCACAGGGAGGCAGTGGAAAGAGGGTACAGGGTATGTGCGTGCATATCTGTGATTGCAGGGAGGCTGTGGAAAAAGGGCATGGGGTATGTGAGTGTGAGTGTGCGATCGCAAGGAACCTGTGGGAAATGGGTACGGGGTATGTGCATGTGTGCGATCACAGGGGAGCTGTGGAAAATGGGTGTGGGGTATGTGCATGCGTGTGTGCAATCACAGGAAGGCTGAGGAAGGAGGGCATGGGGTGTGTGCAATTGCAGGGAGGCTGTGGAAAGAGGGTGCGGGGTACGTGCATGTGCTTGTGTGATTGCAGGGAGGCCATGGAAAATGGGCATGTGGGTGTGTGATCTCGGGAGGTGTGGAAAGAGGATGCAAGGCACATACATATGTGTGTGCAATTGTAGGGAGGCCGAGGAAAGAGGGCGCAGGGTACGTGCATTTGTGATCACATGGGAAGCCAAAGGAAAGAGGGGGGAAGGAGGGCATGGTGCATGCAGCAAATAAAGGCCAGGGGGAGGGGATTGTACCCCAGTGACTTGAAACCTTCCTTGCTGGCTTCCCATTGACTTTGCTTGGGTGAGGCTGGTAGGGAAGGGCATAAATGGCAATCACATGACTGCAGGATGCTGCAACTGGTCGTAAGTGCAAGCTGGTTGCCAGGCACCCAAATTTTGTTCACTTGACTGCTGGATCACTGCAGCGGCTGGAACTTTGAGGACCAGTCGTAAGTCCCTTCATTCAGCACCATCATAACTTTGAACGGTCGCTGAACGAATGATTGTAACTTGAAGACTACCTGTAATTGAGTATGTAGCCTGATCAAGGTTAGAGGGCTTCTAAATGTAATGTCATATCAAAAGGATATTGTACTCTATAGAAATAAGAATGATCAGAAAGGAGCAAGACCAGTAAAAAAAGTCCTACTTTACATGATGTTATAATCTAAAAAGTAAACACCTTTTTATAGATATTTATAGATTAATTAAAAGCTCAGAAATTATTCTCCTAACCATATTCACAATTCTGCTGGGAATATTTGTGAATATTCACAATTCAGTATAATCACTTGTGTAATATGCATTTTTTTCTGTAGTTGTTTCCTATTTTTGGTGTTATATAACTATTACATAATGCATCTGTAGGCTGCAATCAGCCAATTTAAACTGAACTGTTAGAACCCTACAGAATTCTGGGCATCTTATTTATAATCAAGCATTTCCTCAATCTGATATTTTGGGGATTTTCCCCAACATCATCTTCTGAATTTTCAGCAGAAGGCCTGATACATAAGTTAAAAAACTTGGCAGTATTGAAGGTGTCACAGTTTTACCTCTTTTTCTGTCTAATGAATGTTTCTGAATATAATACATGTATTTATATAATAATTTTATATATAAAAAAGGTAAACAAGTCTAACATCTATAAAGCAGAGTGAAAACAGTAGTTGTGAATCCATATTTTGTCTTACAGCATACTCCTTATAGACATTGGTTGCTATTTTGGTTTCTCCAGTTATAGCCTAAACCTTATTTAAATCAAATTGTTAAAAGTCTAGTCAATATTGCAAGCTATCAGTTAAACGTATTAGCTAAACTGAAGCACAAAGTTGTAGCCTATAGGAAAATATATAGAATATATTAAACTATTCTAAACTAGCTTTTAAGAATGGCACGTTTTATTCTTATTATTTAGCTATACCAATAATGGCCAATATAAATAGATTTTAACACATGCAATTGTATAATCTCTACTAAAACCACATAACTTAACCATCAAAAGCAATTATATTCATATTGGTCAGTGGAAAAAAATTCAAAAATCTATATTTGTTCAATCTTTTTAATTACACCCAATGAAGATGACAAAAAGTGTTTCTACTCCTGAGGATTTCATTGGACATTACAAGAAGCAGAGTTTGGGAAAGAGCATGAAAGTCCACCATTTCATCCAGAAGTTTGTCATGAAGAGTGAACTTCAGTCAGTCGGCATTGGCTGTTGATTTCAAGCTACACTATGGGACAAATATTCTGAAAACACAAATATCATTAGTGCCAAATTTGGCTCTTGTGATCTAGGTGAAACAAACAGGCATCTGGACCAACAGAAAGTGGATATGAACATTACAATCTGTACATCAGTAAAGCAAGGGATAATGAGTAATGCCTTAAGTAAAAAAAAAAAAAAGTCAAGCCAGATAGTGTAGTGTTACCTAGTGGTTGGAAGAAATTAAATCATAAAATTTCAACATCCTTCTTCAGACTGCAATAATCTTTCTGCATCCTTGGAAGTTGCAAAGGTATTTTCCAAAGCACAGAAAAACAATTAAAACTGTCACAAGCAGTATTTCGCAGTCTTTGATGAACAAAGCTCATGAAAATAAAATATGCAAATTCCATAGTTGAATTATACTTCCATTATGAGCAATCAGAATGGGTCAAGTGTTTCATAAGAGAATACAGTATTATTACCACAGATGGATTTTTTTTTTTTTAGTTCCAGGCATTGCATCCTCCACATGGCTTTGGTCTGGTGTCTAAAAAAACCAAGGAAAAATGTGAATGCACAGGCAGAGTGATAAATTATTTGTTCTTATTCAGTTATTGTCTTGCTTCCAACTCTTTGTGACCCAGTGGATGTTAATAGAGCAAGATTTTCTGTCTGTAGCTACTGCTTTGACTTCTTCTAAACTCATGTTTGTGATATCACTGGTATGTACTGTAGCTCTTTTGCCTTTTATCAGCCTCTTTTTCAATATCTTTGATTTTTACCAGCATCAGCAACTTTTGCATTAAGATTGTGTGTCTAAAATAGTTAGACATTTTCTTCCTTAATTGTGATTGATTTTATTCATTTATTTATTTATGTATTTATTCAGTTTTGGCACTGTCTAACTCCAGACTGACTCTGGATGGCTCACAGTATAACAAAACAAGATGAAAAACTGCAGTACACAATAAATGCTGAACAAGACAGGAAATCCAGCCAAACAGCACAGAAAAAAACATATACAAGCCAAAACTAACAAGGGGCTCCATCTGCCCTTTTAGTGTACTTTATTTTACTTCAACGTGTACTTGCTGATTTGTTATTTTGTGTATTTGGGTCATCTTTTCTTTATAGCTTCTTTTTCCAGTATCAAACTGGAAAAAGACTTTTGCATAAAAGTTTCCTTTATGCAATTTTCTTAAATAACTCTCTTTTCCTTCTCATTCAGTTGTTATCTTTAATTTCTTAATTAATTTTTTCATCTCTTGTGCCAAACTCCTGTTTGTTCTCCCTGTTTGCTAAAGAGTAAGCTCGCTTTATGAGAACTGGGTTCCTATATCCTCTTCAGCTTGTTGAGCAGGAAGAAATGCGTCAGTCACATGCAGTGACCAACAGCAGCAATCGGGAATCACTTAGCATCCTTTCCCCCTCCTAGACTTTCTCTTTTCTCAGCAAAACTTCACACCAAACTCCTATTTGGTCACTCAGTGAGTGACAGTGGATGCACCAGAGGATCATTTGCATATTCTTAAGTGATTCTGGGAAGAGACCAGAAGTCACCACAATACACAGAGCTTGAGCAGCTCAAGCCATAGTTATGACAACTTCAAAAATTTACTTTTCCTCCCTTCCTCTAAAGTATATAAGGGACATCATTACCAGAAATGGGTCCTAAAAGTTACCTGCAAAAGATGTGTTATGCTTTCATCCAGAAGAAAAAGTGGACTTTATTTGTATAAAGTGTCAGTTTGTGGAAATTCTGAAAGCAAAAATTGGTGAACTGGAGGCCAGAGTATCATGCATATACCTCATTTGTCAAGATGAAGACATTTTCAGTAGTGCAGATACTACTTGAGGAAAGGAGGGCAATTTAAGCTTACAGCTTCATCAAAGATGAGAATAAAAGCAGCTGTCAGCACATCACTGTCAGAAGCAAACTAGCCACAAAGCAGCCTTTTCCCCTAGATCTTGACCATCCTCTAGCTTCCAAGGTAGTTTCTGCAAACATGAGTGACGTACAAAAGGCCTGCACAGTTGAAGCTTGTTACCTGATCCAT